TGTCTTGATACAGTATTGGTGATATAGAAAAAAAAGTTCTAGAAAAAATGTCCCTTCCAATCATATATGTTCAACTTCCAGGAAACAATTATGATACTGAAAGGCAAGCAACAAGTATGAAAAAAAGATTCAACTTCCATCTCTCATTAAGTTCCTCAGGTGGTAAAAAGGCTTTTTAGAACAAAAGCCAAGGTCTCCAAGCTTCTATCCTGGTTAGGCAAAGTTCTTGAAAAGATTTTTTTATCCCAGTCAGACAAACTCTTCTATAATATAGTACTGGCTTCACTTGTAATAAATGAATCCATATATCAACAGAAGGATAAGTTTCTTAAACATTTTTTTTAAAGTCACTTTTAGGAATGACTAAGTTCCTCAAATGTCATGAAGCTTAGAGAATATCCCAATTAGGCAAATCTCTTTTGAGAGAAAACTGTGAAATGGAGCAAGAACCTTTTGAAGGGCTTTGATTTGCATTTCTCCTTTCCTTTTTTCTAATGCCAACTTTAGCAAATCATCATTTTTCAGAATAATCAATAGCGACAAACTGTTGGCAATGACCCTGGTTGACTTAAAGCACTATTGCCAAGCTACTAGAAGAGTAAAATATTGTCCCTTAAATCTGACTTAGAATACCTAGTTTAGACTTAGTTTTGTTTAGTCCAAACTAGCTTAGTGAACTCCTCATATTTTTTAAATAGTGTAGTCCATTAACTAATAATGTATAACAATAAGTTAATCACTTTGTAAAAGTTTGTAAAATATTTATATATTTCTTAATATCTCAATAAAAACACACCATTGCGATATAATTGTGGGTTAAAAAAAAAAAAATTTTTTAATTATATAAGATTATGAAAAATTAATATTACCTGCAATAGAAAATATGAATAAAAAAAAAAATGGTTATATAGAAATTATTAGAAAATAGTTCTATTATAATATTAAATAATTTATAATAAAAAAGAAAGAAAACTCTTTCTGCTAATTCTCTTACTATATACAAAAAAGATGTTCACAAGAAGTTTTATACTTTCTTGCTAATAAAGTCTTAAATTTTCATCAAAACAACTTGAAACTTGTATTTATTTATCTCTCCTACCCTTCCTTACTTGTTTATAAACTCTTTTGAACAAAAACTTGAGCCTCTAGTGACCTGAAAAGACTCAAATACGCACTTCCTCTACTAAAGGCAAAAAGATTCTAGAAAATAAAAAAACTGACAAGTGAAGTGTTACCTTACAAAGCTGGAAGTAATAAGAAATAAAGATTCTGTTAACAGGAGAAGACTTATTTTCCACCTTCTCATATACTGTTTTATACTCTCTTAAAGTACTTACTGTTTTTCACAGTTTTCTTGGAGAATTTTGCCTATCTCAGTTTGACCCTGAATTTCTAGTAACATAATATTACCTGACATATGATTGATTGATATAAAATATATTAGTAGCTAAATGTAAACAAGCTTCTATTGATCACCTTATGTGTTCTGATAATATTATTGATAAATGAAAGAAAAATCAAGAATACGAACTTTTCCACTTCTTCTAATGAAGTTTAACTAAAGCAAAGAAATAATGAGGCCATTAGGATGGGCACTAAATTCCTTAAGTGGTGAAAAGGTGGTTATTTGTTCAAGCTGAAGCCTTCAACTTCTTATTATCCCAGTCAGACAAAGTATGTGAAGAAGGTTATTTTCTTATCCCAATCAAGCTATAATACTGAAAAGCAAAGAAATATAAAATACTACCCTTCTCTAGAATTGAGAATGCATTTTCCCAGATATTGTATAATGATATTGCAAACAAGATGAATACAAAAAATTCCTTTAACTAGGCATAACTGCTGAAAGATATCAGGAGTTACTCAACAAGACTGAAAAGCTATATAAGAATCTGGGATCTACTATTAGTCATCTTCTTTCATATGGGTGAATACAAAATCAAGACCAAAAGAAAGGAAGCATTAAGCAAGACACTGGATCCAAGTAGGTGATAAGTATTTCAAATAATCACAAGAAAATAATTAAAAGCACAGATACTGCAGATAAGTTTTTCAGATGATTAGAAAGAAGAAGGATATTTCAGAAGGGTTGACTCCTAATGAGAAGAGATTTCTAGCAGAGGTTCTTTGGAGGACATGGAGCATTTTAATTTTTTTTTTTTTCTTTTCATTTTCATGTAATGCATTTGCACATTTTTAGATATTCCTCTTTCCTTTTATTTTTCCTTTTCCCTTTTGTAGTTTCTCGAATTCAGTTTCTTGGAGGATAATAAGCAGTGATAATCTGCTAACAATAATAAGTAAGTTAGGAGGGTCTTCATCCAAAACCTAGTTTAGAATGAAATATTGTTTCCAAGGTTGCACTTAGAGGCTAAAGCTCTTTTGAAAATTGAAAGTCATTGACGAGTGTATCAGTACAAGTCTTTTAGTTTAGCTATAATGCAATTGCCCTATGTATCTCTATTGGTTTTCATATTAATTAATAAACATACAATACTGGCCTAACCACAGGTTATAAAAAAAAATAATAATATTAAATAATTCATATTTTAAATTTTAGATAAAACTTATAATAATTTATAATAATAACTTGTAAACAATAATTTTATTGATTTAAAATTACAGTAATTCAAATTAGTAAAAAAATAAAATATTATTTTTTAAATTGTATTTAAAGAATTAGTTTTTTTATAATGAGTAAGTTAATTTTTTTTTTTTGGATAAAAGTTCAGCCATGTTTATTGACTTTGATAAAATAATATATAAATTAATACAGAAATCACAAAGGTTGTCATGTAGAGCCATATATTATTTATATCACTAAACTCTTTAAAACCTGATTTTTAATAGATTTATCAGATAGCTTGTTACTTGGAGATATCTAGTTGAATTAAATTTTTACTACTACTACTATCTAGAAAAAGACCAGACATCACTTATTAGATCTTTAATTTTTTTGAATTATACCTAACTAATATACCATGATGGATTTGTTAGTTTCTTGAAAAAAGAAATACAGTATATCTTTTTTTTGATCCTAGTGATTATGGCCTGTTATCAATACCAAGTATATTCAAAGAAAGATTGTGAATTTAATAATATTTTGTATCATGCAAGAGTGAAAAACTATTTGGATTAGAATAAAAAAATCCTGAAGTGATTTTGGAATAAAAAATGGTTGTGTTTTCATAAGTAGAGTGAGTTCTTAAAGTTCTATTTCAATAGAAAAGGTATTTATTTTATAGTCATAATACTTTTGGAAAGTAACAAGAGAGAGAAGACCATAATCTATATGATGTTTATCTATTTATATATCTAGTATATGACTTATAATAGACTTAAGATTTTTATAGAGCTTAAGAAATATATTTATGTTATATATTATATGTATTCTTATTTATATTTCTACTTATTATAGAACAATTAATTCCAATCTTTAGTCAATTAATCCATTCAAAATCCAATATAACAAAAATTTTAGAGTCAAGCTAAGATAGACAAAATCTCCTAGAAAAATAAAAAAAAAACTACTATACACTAAGAGAGAAATCGTTTCTACCTGTGATAGTAATATCAGTTATTTAAGTTGACATAAAGTTGTTGATCCACACTTTTTTTTAGACTTTGGGATCTCTATAAAAGACTTTATTTCAATAAGTCAGTGAACAATTGTTATTTGGCCAACAAGACAATAAAGTTGTTTTTATTTTAGGAGAGGTTTTTCCTCTTTATATAAGAATCTGACCTAAAGTACCTTTTAATTAAAATATCATAAATAAATCTATAAATACAATAATTAAAAATACATAAATCTTAACATAACGGATGTCCAGACTTATAGGGCTATAATATAACTTAAAAAGAAAACCAAAAAGAAAAATAATAATAATAAAAGAAATCTATTGGTTTGTACTACTACTGTTTACAGGGCTAATTTTTATTCTGGGGAAACAAGACAAATTGACTATGATGAAAGGCACTCAACCTGGGATCGCTAAAGATGATCTCAGATAATATTATGTGGAGAGTCCAAAAATAGTAAACAGGACGGACTTCGGGTCCATAGTCACACAGAGTCATGTATACTTACACAGAATTGATGGGAGCAGATGTGAATTTGTTATAATCTCTATAGAAAAGAGAAAAAAAATATTTTTTTATTTGATTTCTTCTTTCTAGAAAAGTTTTCTTATTATTAACTTCTTAGATAGAGAGTTTTTGAAGAAGAAAAGTAAACAAAAAGGGTAGAATATGACTACTGCTAAATGAAGCAAATGTTTTTAAAGAAAGTTTTGAAGTTTTATTACTCTTAAAATATAAAGTTTTAGAGAAATACTTCTTTGAAAATAATGATTAAAAATCTATAGGAGAGAGTTCCATATTATCAATTCTAATAAGTAAGTTAATATGTAAAAGTTATAAATATTTTGTATATATATAATAAAGACATGTCATATTGATCTGACTATAGATTAAAAAAAAGCAATCTAATTTAATTACAAATATTAATATTATAAAAAAAATTCTATATTTAAATCAAAATCTTTTTTAATACATAATTCCTATTTTTCTAAAATTATTAACTTTAGTATACTATAATTGAAATATTATTCCTTAACTTAAAATAAATTTTTATTATAATTTTTTATTTATCTATTTGATTTGAAAATTATCAAATAGATTGATTATATATAAAATTCTTATACTATATATTTTATATCAAAAAGTTTACTGTAATAATTAAAATCCCTGATTTAATGAAATATACTTTGAACTGTTTTTTTCCTGGTTATTATTACCTAGTAAAAAAAATTTTTTTTTTAATACTATTCTTTTATCAATTACACATTTTCTTTAATGCTTTTTTATTGACATTTGATATTGATATTATAAAAACTTTACGAGGTTAAACTCAACAGCTCATGTACTGTGCGTAACCACACTTATATATCACATCTATCACACCTGCTATCCGTTGTGTGCGTTCTTTCAAAAGAACAATGTCATTTGATCCCGACCGTTACATGGTCGGTCCGCAGGGCGCGCGTCGCTTGGGCCTGGTTCTTGGTGACAGTGACCCTCTCACAGGGATTTCAGTAATTCAACAGCGTTATCAGGTGAAGGTTGAGAACATCAAGGTAAGCGCGTCCAACGCTCACACTTTCCAGTGCTTTTTTATTAACCTTTTGTCTTCATGCGAGAGTAGAATGTCTATCCGTTGCTCGAGTCCAGCGGGATGTCTAGATACAATATTCACGCGGGTATACTGGAGGAGTTGAGAGATAAATTCATAAAGGCGATCGAAACCGAGCAGTGGGATCAGGACAAGTATGATATTTCAAAAAAGAAGCAAATTCTGTACATACTTTTTTAGAGGTTACCTAATTTTACATTCTTTGGAAATCGTACTCTCGATGCATACTCAGGTTTAATAGTTTTCTGGCAAAAACGATGTCACTATTATTTCTTAAAGAATTGCGTCCCGTACTTCTGGCACTTCTTAGAAAATATCCTGAACGTATAACGTCCGATGTTTATGCGATTTTGGCACGTGAACCGTCCATCGAAGTGGTAGCTATTTGTTTTCTATTTTAATTTTCTTTCTTTCTTTTTTTCTTTTTTTTTCTTTTTTTTTTTTACCGGTTCCTAAGTGTATTTGTGCTTAAAAGGTCTTCTTTTGAACCAGGAAGCACCGATAGAAATAAAAAGAGGTTTATATGCTCGCGACAAGGTGAAATTCAAACACGTCGCCCAGATGTACCTTATGCATTATGTTCAAAACCAGAGTTTAAGTATGATGGCAAGAGAAATGAGGGGGATAAATGTCAACGATGCGTTGGACAAACGGTGGGTATGCAGTTATTGTGACTTTTGAAGATTTTAATCGTGTTAATTTTAATGTTCGCATCTTCAGACTGGAAGATCATGGATTACGATCGATTATTAATTTGGTTCACGAAAGCTCCGATCTCTTCGACGATCTGTTACATATTATAAGAGAATGGCACAAAGAATTCGGCGTCTCAAAGATATGTTCGTTTCGATTCGATTTCTTCATGGGGATGCAAAAGGCTGGAAGAATTCAAGTAGGGCTTTATCACTCGTGAGATGCATGCATGCCCTGTATATTGATGTCTTTGTAATTTTGTAAATCTGACAGATGTGTAAAAAGGATCATTCCTACACCACCATTTGGTACATCAACGGTGGAATAAGGAAAGGCATAGACTTGCCTTGTATCAACCAGATAAATCTACTTTGCGCAAAATATAAGAAGAATACCTCCCGAGATTTTGGGTGAGAATTTATTGACTTGAGAGTTTCTATTCGTGGATGGGTATATATTGAATGTCGAAAGTTCTACTTTTTTCAAAGCGATATCGCAATGATTTTCCAAGATCCCATTGTTTACAATGTTTTCGCCGCGAAGATAGTTGAGATCTTGAGGAAATATGTCGATGACGCCTACAGAAAGAACCCGGAGAAGTCCAATTTGGACATGAAAAATCCGGCAAAATACGTACACAACATAGTAAACTCGATAACGGTACGTAATTTCTGTATGGAGGTTTCTTCACGCACAAAAAACTTACCGATATCACTAATTAGAAAGAAAAAGACTCAACACTCAAGTGGTTGTCGTCTATGATTAATCTTGGAAGCAATTCGCACACGATGATGATTAACAAGGTCTTTAGTATGCCACAAGTGAATGAAGAAATTTACACAAAGTTCTATAAGCAATTGTTGGTCTTGATGTTTGATGATAAAGGACGTCACACAAGTACGATCAACATGTTCAAGGCCAGTGAAACTACCGAAGACGAAAATGACGTGCCACCGATAGTCAGCTCTCCAAACCAATTTGGTGAAACCGAGATTAGTTTGCTGAAGCGCAGTGACATGGCTAGAAAGGTAATTCGCGAAAGATCGATCTTTCTTCGATTCATCATCCCTCTTAACATTTACTGATTGTTTGAAACTTTTCGTTTAGGTATTTTGTCATTACATGCTCGAGCGTTGCGAGAAGGGTGACATCATTTCCCTGCGACGTTCCCTGGAATATTTTCGGGCTACTATGCCATTTTCCGAAAATTCAAATATTTTGCATGTTGAATTATACGAGTCCGCGTTGCAAACTCTCATCACCCTAATCATCAAGTATCATCGAGTTCGCACACTCTCCTCCGCAAAATGGTCAGGCGTGATCAGAATTCTGGTCAACATGCCGTGGAAGTCAACCATACACGAGTTGACGGTCAAGTTATTGAACGAATATTATACGGAAGAAGTTAGCGCAGGATTGGCAAAAATCGGTTGCATGGAGAAATATAAGTTGGTGAGGGATTGGGCTGAATCGCTCGCCAGTTCATATACGAAAATTGGTCTCAAGGTACATTCAGTGTTTCGGTGGTTGATTGCATATGACCAAATAAAAAAAAAAAAAGAAAAGATAATTGATAATAATAATAATAATAATTCCTTTTTTTTTTTTCCTCTTATACTTGAGCCCCCACTTTCTCAGACGCTCCATTCCCTTTACCACAGCCTCTGGGTTGAGTCCACCACCTGTGTTGATGGAATGTTCAAGATCTCACCCGAAAATTGTCCCGCAATATTTGCATTCGGAATAAACATGTGAAAAGGTCCTAACTCCTGCATCAGTTGTCAATTCCATCATTGTGAAGTTTTGGATAATTTATTGAGGCAAAGGGGACCTAAAGTTCGGAAAAATGCCTCTATACAAAAAATGTAATTTATCATAACAGGATAAATCAGGGAAGATATACTTTCCTTTTTCATCAGGGTTTCACAAATTTGCAATAAAAAAAAACATTGAGTCATTTTGGTGGTCGAATTTGGTTCGAAAGTATTTTTTCCGAAACAAATACGAGATTTTCTTTCTTTTTTTTTTTCTGGGCTCCGAAAACAAAAGGTGATGATGTTTTAGTCTTAACATAAAAGGCGAAAGGATTTCCACGCATCACGATCATTGCGCTTTCTTTTTTTTTTTTTTTTTGTTCACAAATGTCTATAAAGACATCAGATGACCTTAAGAGCTGTGTGATGTTGTACGAAGTGGACATCAAAGAACCTCCCGCACCGTTATTTTGCATAACAGTTGCATGAGTACATTCTAACCCAACCCACTAGATCTTCACGGGACGATATTTCACTAGAGAACCTTTTTTTTTTTTTTCACACACGCTTATATATATATATACACGCTTTTTTTTTTTTTTTTAATCGATTATACGAAGTCATGAGCGGTTGGGAAAGTCTGTATCACAAGGCAGCAGGCGAATACAATAATGGAAACCTCAAGGTACCAATCTGTTTTTCCACCCCTCAATCTTTTGACTGATCACACGAAAACATCTTTTTCCACGTTCAGGACTCTTATAACAACTACCTGAAGGCAGCCAACGCGTTGCTCTACAAACTCAATCATGAGGTAACGTTTGCTAGCAAAGGTACGAGCGAACCTTTTTTTTAAGCGGAAGAGCATTTTGTCTGTCGAGTGTCCACAAGCTTTCAACTTTTAGATGCCGTGAGGTCGAAGCCAACCAACAGCGCCCGTTTATTCCAGCAGCTCAAGTCTTGCGTACAGAGGCTGGAAGATATCCTCCAGAACCGAACGACAAACGGCATCCCTTCTCCGAAACCCTCTTTCACCTCTGACATCGCCACCTCGATTCTCACAAACAACCCCCCTTCCATGCACTTGCCTATGATTCCTTTTTCCCCACTCACTCGTCAATCCATCTATTACGCCCATGATCTTGCCACCACCTCCCAGAAAGTATCTGTTGCCTCGCAAAAAAGCTCTGAAAACCAGGACGACCTTGCTTCCGTTCGTAAGCTGAACGAGGAACTTAGTCAACATAGGGCCAGACTTGATAAGGTTAACAGTCATATTCAATCCATCGCCGAAGTTACGCTATTGCATTGGGATGTTGATGCAGTTGCCCAACAGTTAACCATAATCGACAGCCAGTTGTATGGTAAAGTGGATTTCCGAAAGGATTTGCTGTCCAAAGATCGAAAAAATTCTAAAGCGCAAGCATGCTTGGATTTCCATCGATACTTGACAAACAGTTTCTCCCATCAGTTCATTATTTATGCCGAGATCAGTCGATCTTCGGGAAACCAATCGCGTGGCACCTCACACACTCGGGACAACATAATTGCGCACGCCGTTAGAATAGCTTACCTTCTGTTACATGTTCACCGTAATTTCAATAGCTTCGCCGCTTTGATGAAATCCCTCACTTCACCTGAGGTGCGAAGAGTAAAACGGTTGTGGAACGGCCTCTCCGGTCGCGTTCCCCAAATTCTGAAAGAAATGTCTATGTACATTAAGAAGGACAACAATTACAAAGCCTACAATGAAGCACTAATCCAAAAGATAGACGAGTTTCGGGAAAGTGGCGAGGGGATGATTGTTATCCCATGGATGCAACCTCACTATGAAGAGATCAAGACAATCACTCAATCATACTCCAGCGGGAAATCGGGCGATCCCTCGGACGTCATCCTCTCGGCCCCGGGTGCGCTCAGATTGGAATCCATCTTCACTCTACTGCAGAAATGTCAGACGAATGTCGCGCCTGACGATGACGAGGAATGGGGTATCGGAAGGAAAGGGTCACCGCTGGTATCACGCGGTAGAGATACCAATCACATCGTTGTCGATGGAACCACGATTACGCTACCGTTAGATCTTTCGTGCCTGGGATTTGGAGACCTGGGGTTACATCATTGGATTGTCTCTCGTGTTTTCCTGACAAAACAACAATTGATTGATGAAAGCCTTGAGATAGAACCTCTAGCTGAAAACGAACAGCTTCCTTGCGTTGAGAATGATTACGAGGAGGAAGAGGAGGAAGAGGAGGACGATCGCGCGAGCGTGGGTCAATATGATCTCGGAAGCGACGACAGTGGTGACAACGCGGAAGCAACTACATCGACGATCAACAAGAATGATATTGCCACCAGTTCAACTTCACAGACGAAGCCATATGAGATGTCTGCGGAAAGCAATGCTAGACCGGAAGTTACGAATATTTCATCCTTGATCACCACCACCAAGATGGAATTGAATGAACTATCTTCAAAACCAAGTGTCGATTCCATTGGTATATTATCGTTTGAGGAAACGTCTAAGCCTCATGAGGATACGGCCATGTCTTACATGATCAGGTCAACAGAAGAGTCCCTGACCCAAATGGATTCTATGAAACCCGAGTCAAGTGACACTAACGTCGGGTCAACTTCCACCACCACCACCACCAAGACAGCGGCCATTCCCATCCCACAATCGTCACAGAGGACAACTACCCCACTTCTGTCACCGGCATCTCTTTCGGTTGCCAAAAATCTTAATCCACGTGCGCCAGTCTTTGTTCCTCGATCGCAGAGTTTCTCTAGTTCGTCCTCGGCCACCATTCAAGGCGCAATAGACAAAATTAACGCAATGACGAAAGAATCAAGTGAAATGGGAGAGACGGGTCAACCTCGTAAGGCCATTAGCTTACCACCAACCCGAATTGGAGAAAATGAATCAAGTGCAAATAATGAGGAAGAAGAAGACGATGATGGATTTGTCTACCCTGTTGCAGAAAATGAGAATGAAAATAAATCCGAAGATGAGGATGAATTTATATACCCCGAAGAAGTAAACGCATCTAGTGATGTGAAGGAGGAGGAGGACGATGACGGAGGGTTTACCTATCCGCACGTGGAAATGGATATCGAAAAGGAAGACGACAAAAGTAAGATCGACTTTAGTTCCGACACTAGTAAGAAAGACATTGTGACAGAAAATGGCGAAAATAGTAGTTTAAGCCCGAATCTTGGTAAGGATGTTCTCACCAAGGTTGGTGAAAAATCCACAGATAACATGATCACAGTTAGAATTAACAATGCTAATGCCATTAGCAAGGATGTATGATTTCGCATCCTTGTCAAAAAAAAAAAAAAAAAAAAAAAAAAAAAAAAAAAAAAATCTTTTTTAACATCATTCTCGGAGGGAAGATTCTAAATGTATTTTATCTTACTATACACTACTACTGTTGGTATGGTGTTATATAACTTATCATCTTATATATTTATATATCACGTTTTTGTGTGCTATTTTTCTTACCGAAGTGACAAACTTGCTTGAGGGATAAAGCAGTCAAGACTTGTTTTCGTGTGACGAAAAAATCAAATCTCTGATATAAACATTTATCGAAAGAAAAAAAAATTCGCGAACTCATTTATTAATAATAAAGGAGAAAACCAAGTTATTTCGCCATTCGGCACGTGATATACGGCACGTTTATATATTGTAGGTGGATGTTTTCAAGTTCACTTTAACGCATCATGTCGGCCTGCATCTTTTGCAAAATAATTAGAAAAGAGTTTCCTTCTTTTTGTATCTATGAGACAGAGCATACGTGAGTGCACAAAACGAATTCTCGGCCTGTTGTTACATTAAAACTCTTTTTAATGCTTTGTTTCTCGTGTGCACCAATAGATATGCTTTCTTGGACATAAAACCCTTAGCGGAGAGGCACACTGTATGTACTTGCGCGTTTCTTTTTATGGTTTCCTGAAAACTTTCACAGCATGTATAACTAATTATTTCCTGAAAAACCACCTCAGCTTGTTATCCCAAAATGTTTGTTCTACTTTTTAATGCTTTCTTCGTTCTTTCCAATCCTAAATATTAACATTACCATTTCTCCAACGTCTCAGATCACAGTGATACCTTACACAAACTTCCTGATGAAAGTTTAGCCGACCTACTTCCAGTCGCCAAGAAAGTTGCCATTGCAACTGGTGCTGAACAATACAATATTTTGCAGGTAATTTGTGACATGGCGATGCATCATCTCATAACGAAAGCATTCACTGATTTTTATATGCATATATATATATCTTTTTATTTTAAGAACAACGGTCGGCTTGCTCATCAGGTACGAATGAATCTTCATTGTCCATTGTTAGATTGTCATGCATGTCTTAAGATATTTCCATCTCATTAGGAGGTTGAACATGTTCATATCCACGTGGTATGTGATTGTCGCTTAGCCCCTAATTCTCGTTATTCGCGCGCGCCTAGTTAACGATTGTTTTGTGAAACTACAAAGATTCCCAAACCGAATGAAAAGGAGGGTTTAAAAATCGAGTGGCCACTAAAATCTTTGGAAAATGGAGAGGCCATTGCTCAAGAAATGATTGAAAGGTTAAAAGCAAGTAAGAGTTGAATTGGCTATGCAAACGACATTATCGATACTTTTTTTAATAATAAATGTTGACCTGTCGAGTGCAAGTTTTGCTCATGTTGATGATGATCAAAACTGTTTATGTTTTAATACGTTTCGAACGCAACAAACTATGTACATTTTATTAAATCTAATGATGAAACAAGTATCAAAATGAAGAAAAAAAAAAAAAAAAAAAAAACAGAAAATTTACAAAATAAAAATAATAACGTTAAGCATAATATTCTATATGATAAATCCAATTCTTTCTTTTTCTTAAAAAAAAAAATTTTCAATCAGAAGCTTTAAATTAGAGCCTTATGAATATATATATATATATATATATATATATATTTTTTTTTTTTTTTGGTTGTTGTTTTGAGGGCATAGGGCATTAAGGTAATGGGCAAGGCAGGCATTATCACGAAATTGAGGATGCGAATGCTTATATTTAAAATTATTGATAAGCAGTTTAAGATATGACTGCAAAAAAAAAGTATACATGAAAGAAATGCATGGTCAATAATGTATGTAAAATGAAGAACGAACAGATAATGAAAAAAAAGCTCGGAATAATCCAAACTTTTGGCGATTTAAACTTTGCCGCCGCGTCTGGTACGGGTGGAAGTGACAGCTTTAGTTTGAGTTGCTGTTGCTCCGTTAGAGGCTCCTCGCTTTGTTCTCGTCCTCTTCGGTGTGCTTGTGACTTCCTCGGGTTCGCCGGTAGCACCGGAATCATCCGGAGGATTGAAAACATCCTCAGACTCTGTTGCTTTTTTTGACGAAGCTCGGGTTCTTTTCGCCGTCGGCACTGACTCGTTTTGCTTCGAAACGTCCTCCGACTCCAAATTAGGAGAACGTTTCTTCGAACTCTCGGGAAAGGATGGTGTCGGTGTGCTAGCTTGAATAGCCTCTGTCGATTCCATAAACACGTTTTGATCGGCATCTGTTAGAAAGGCACCCGCAATAGTCTCCATCAAAGCAGTGGTCTCCGCCTCCGTCGGAGGTACTGAAATACTACCCGTCATAATCTGATTCCCTGACGTGGATACAATAGGGATCTGAGATGAATAGGCATTAGAAGAGGTGACTTGTTTTGATGACGAAGCATTGTGATCCCCGTTGTCTTCATTCGATGAAGTTTCCGGCGGTGAATCCACGTGACCATGTGCCGCACGGTATGCACGGAGTTCTTCGTCGTATCGTTCTTTGTCAGCAAAATATCGGTCTTCGTAAACCTATAAATACAAGCATAAAGCAATGAGTATCCCTCGCCGAGACGTTTCTGGAAATAATTTTTTTAAAAAAAAAAAAAAAAGCGTTCACCTTCTTCTGTTCACGAGATAAAGCTTTCCATTTCTGACCGATGAGAGTGACAATTTCTTTTTGGTTGGCGTGGGGATTATCTGCCTTGGTCTCCGCACGAATTTCGTTACTAAAAAGGATATATGCCGTGTTTGGCCTTTTTGGTGCGTTCGGATCCTTAACTTGAGGTTTCTTAAATTTCCTCGGCTGATGTCCAATAGAAGTGTGAGTCTCACTGGGGACAATTCCTACGTCCCTTGGAATAAGCGCCTGGAATTCGTCGCATGCTTTGGCCGCAACTCTGAGTGCCTGTGCAATTTGTTCGTACGCGTTTACGAGCTAGAAACATTGGAGAGAAAGGTCGAAGATTCATAATTGTGATGAAGATAGGACAAGCAACTCTGAATAAGTTTTTCAACTACTAACAACATCTCTTTTGGCATTTAATTGGCGTAACAATTCGGGGTCAATATGGTCGGCCTGTGTTCCAAATTGTGTGGGGCGCGTGTCGCTAGGCATTTTTTGTTTGCAAAACTTATTTAAATTTTTTATTGGCAAAAAGTTCGTGGGATTCTAGAGGGTTGCGGTAGGAACGTAGAGGAAACGAGATACTTCAAGTATGACATAAAAGGCTTATTGTTAAGAAACGTGTCAAAAATTCACCGCAAGAGATAGACATACAGAAAAGAACGAATGTTGACGCAAAAAAGAAAAAAAAAAAATAAAGAAACAGAGGCTTACCGACAGTATTCTTTGTTTGGAAGGTTTTCAAAAGTGTTATCGAAATAAAAGTTCACGACTATAAGACGCGAGTAAAAGGTTTATTATTATTATTATTATTATTATTTGGGTGCAACTGCAGTGGCTTTATTTCAACTCTGGTGATGAATGCCAAACAACTCTGGTGAGAGTCAAAGTTGTGGTGTGGAAAAAAAATCTGAAACAAAGAAAAGGATGAAATTTCTGTGACTGTGGGCTGAGGTCTGCTTGAATTTGGTAAGACAAATGCTGAGTGCGGATTTGATTTGATATTTAAGTTCTAATCACAAGCAAGCGTATCCAAATTTGGCAAAATTTTATAAACTTGCAACCCAGAAATGCGAAATGCTTTTCATTCGTATTTTGAAATAATCACGAATCGTCTACTGTTTATAGATGGCACAAAGCACAAAATTCTCATAATAATAATGAATGTACTGTACAGACAGGTCATACAAAAATAGGTCGATTGTGATAATTTTAATAATCACAAAGATTTCGAATTAATTTATTGCTATTAAAATTGTACCTGCGTATTACTGCGCATTAACAAAGAGGTTCACTTTTTGTTTAATTTACTATTTAAGAATAAAAAAAGTCAGAGAATTTTTTTCATATAATTAATGGGTCACAAAAACGATTTAACAGAAGTAGAATGTTCTATTGTAGAAAGACTTAAGGAAGAAGGCATGTTGACTGCCAAAATTGCACAAATTCTTGGGCGGTCAGATAATTGCATCAAAAATTGTGTTAGGTGCTTAAAATCAACTGGTAATTCCAATTATTTAAGAAGAAAATATTGTGGTTGGAAATCACTTATCAGTAATCATTATGAACGTTTAATTTTTCGAAAAATAAAATCTGATCCAACCCTCCAAAGAATGTCAAAATGATCACTTGCTGCCGAATTTTCATCCATCCCTATATCTCCAAGTACTCTATTAAGAACACTAAAGAAAAATAGTATCCATTTACACATTGCTCATAGAAAACCAATAATTAGTAAAAAAAATAGAATCAAACGGTTAAAATGGGCTTTAGCTCATAAAAACTGGTCTAAAGAAGATTGGCAATGAGTTTTATGGACTGACGAATCTTCCATAAGCACTGATTCAAATGGAAAAATTTGAGTCTGGTATCATAAAGATGAACTTTATGATCCAGATTATACTCAAGCAACCGTTAAAAGTAATCGCAAGTCAATAATTATCTGGAGATGTGTAGATGGAAACAATTTATGTCATTTACTTCACACTACATCACGTATGAATAGATAGGAATATGCAAATGTTGTTTTGGAAGCTATTTACTCGATAGTGATAACTTCTAATGAAACGATACTTCAGGAAGACAACTCACCAATCCATAAGTGTAAAATCGTAAAGGAGCTCAAATCTGAGCTTGAAATTATAACGATAGAATAGCCTGCTCAATCTCCTGACCTCAGTCCAATCGAAAATGTATGGAGAGAAGTCAAGAATTGGATTCATAAAAACAGAAAACCACGAAACGAATCTGAGTTGGAAGAAGTCATTACTGCGGCATGGAATAATATTCCATTTGAAAAGATTCTTCATTTTATAAATTCTATGCCAGAACGTGTTAATGAGGTGATAAAAAAAAAGAGGTACGCAACCCATTGGTAGTTGTATGTTTGGGTAATAAAAAAAAAAAAAAAAAGTGATATACGTTTATAAAAATCGACCTATTTTTGTATGACCTGTCTGTACCTCTGCTAATTTCTGTATTGTGCAGTATATAATTTAATTCAAAAACTGTTATTATTCTTTGAAAAACTTGCAATCTATTTTTTATAGAAAAGTTTAAGAAAAAAAATTTTAATAATCCATTAAGTCAGATTAGTAGTATGTGTATACAATATATAAAATTTAAATTTCTAAGTTAGATTCTATAAACAATATAATATTCTATAAGTATTTTGAATAAATACTTTTTTAGTTACATAGCTAGATTAAATTATTAGTTTATTAATTAAATAAATGTAAAATATATTTTTATTTGAACAATTTAATATATATTATACATGTAATAATATTAAAATTTTTTTTGTTAATTTTTTTTTGTTTTGTTTTGTTTTGTTTTTTTTTTTTGAGTATCCGTAATCAGGCTAGATCATTAGTTTATTAATCAATTGAAAACATAAGTATTTTTTCATTCAAGCAGCATAATACATACTATAGTTAAACTATTAATCCTAATCTAACTAACCCATTGTAAGTATAAAAATCTCTAAGTTCAGCCTTAGGAACAATATTTCACTTTGCAGTGTCTTTGGATAAAAACCCTCCTAGTTTACTATATCATTATTAACAGTTTGTCACTACCATATGTTACATCAAGTCCCTGGAATACAGGAAACTACAAAAGAATGGATTGAAAAAAAAAGGGAGGAAAATATCTAAAAATGTTTAAATAGACAATAAGAAAACAAAAAAATAAAAATTGAAAAAAAATATTTCCAACTTTCTCCAAAGACTTGCTTTTCAAGATTTCTTCTCAACAAAAAATATCCAATAAGGATATTCTTTCTTTTCCTAATTATTTGTGGGACTTATCCATTCTTGATCTTTATTTCCTTCTTGTATACTATTTGAAGAAACTTATTATCTAGTAAAAGTCTTTACTTCCAAGACATAATTGGTCCCAACTTTCTTTGAGTAATGATTTTTTACAGTATCCATTTGTGATAAAGAAGTAACTTATGATGGACCCCAAATTCTATGTGACCTAGTAAGAACCGAATTATATTGTTTTAGTATGATACTTTTCAGCAGTCATACTTAATTAAAAGAATTTTACTGATATACATCTTTCATTAATCAAAAGATTAGATTCCCCAATAATCCTTTTGCCTTATAATAATGAGAGGGTCTCAAAAACAATGAGAATTCTTGTCAATTGTAGTATCCTTCAATAACTTATGGGAAAATGCATTCTTGACTATAATCAAATAGTTGGAACTCAATATAAACTAAAGACTGTTCAATCTTATTATCTAATTAAGATAAAAAGAAAACCTTGGTCTTAAACTTTGCTTAATCAAAATGATAGAAGAGAAAGACTTCAGCTTGAACAAATAGTAACTTTTTTATTACCTGGAAACTTATTGCTTGTATCTTATTGACCTTATGGAACTTGATTTGTAGATTAACCCAATTAGAGAAGTGATGCAGATATGAAGTACCAATCAATTCTTTCAATTATTAATAATGTCATTGGAATATGTAATGTAATTAGTAGAGGCTTGTTTATATTCTATTACTAACATATTTTGTGTCAACCAATCAAAAACCTATAACATTGTGCTATCAGAAATTCTGGCTCAAACTAAGATAGGTAAAATTCTTCAGAAAAACTGTAAAAAACAATAAACACTTTAAAAAGAAACAGAAAAGCATAAGAAGATAGATAATAAACCTTCCTCTACTGAGAAAACCTTTATTTTCTATCACTTTCAAATTTATAAGATGACACTCCACTGATCAATCCTTTTACTTTCTAGAACCTTCTTGCCTTTCTTAGAGAAAGTGTATACTTGAGTCTTTTTAGATCACTAGGGGTCCAAGTTTTTATTTAAAGAAGTTTATAAACAAATAAGAGAGGATAGAAGAGATATGTGAAGACAAGCTTCAAGTTATTTTAATAAAAGTATAAAAACTTTATTAGTAAGGAAGTATAAAATTTCTTGTGAACATCATTTTTGTGTATGATCAGAGGATCAACAGAAAGAATTAGTTATTCAATTCATAAAATTTATTTGCTAATTCTTTAAAAATACATATACAAAAATTTTTATATCTTTATACTAATAAAACCTTATTACTTTTCTTAAAACAATTTGAAAGATAACTTAAGGGGTTTGCCTGATTGGGATATTCTCTAAGCTTCATGATGTTTGAGGAACTTAACCATTCCTGAAAGTGACTTCAAGAAGAATGTTTGAGGAACTTATCCTTCTGCTGATATATGAATTCACTTATTGCTATTGAAGCTAGCACTATATTACAGAAGAGTTTGCCTGACCATAATAAAGAAATCTTTTCAAAAACTTTGCCTAATCAGGATAGAAGCTTGGAAACCTCAGCTTTAATCCAAGAAAGCCTTTTCATCACCTGAGGAACTTAATGAAAGATGGGAATTAGATTTTCTTTTTCTATCTATCACTCATTTTTTGATATTATAATCGTTTTCTGAAGGTTGAACATATATGATTGGAGGGAACACTTTTTCTAGACTTTTTTTTTGATATCATCAATGATATATTGAGACACATGTATATAGCCATAGGAGCTTGTTTACATTTCAAAACTGATATGTTTTATATCAGCCAATTATCTTTGATGAGAATTTGTGCTACTAAAAATTCAGGGTCAAACTGAAGTAGATAAAATTCCCCAGAAAACTGTGAAAATGAAAGCTCTAAGAGGACCAAGATAGTCAAAAAGAGAGAAAATAAACTTTTTTACTGCAGAAAATCTCTATAAGCCTTTACTTTAAAGGTTAGAAAGATCTTCAGGTACTTCACAGACAGTTCTTCTTTCTTTAGAAACTTTCTTACCATTGGTATTAAAGGTGTTACTTGATTTTTTTTGATCATTAGGAGTCAAGTTTTGGAGTAAAGAGGTTTGTAAACAATAGGGAAAGGGTAAAAGTGATTCTTGAAGTCATACTTCAAGTTGTTTTAAGGAAAGTATTAAAACTTTATTAACAAGGAAGTGTAAAAACTTCTTGCAAACATC